TGCAATCAGCTCGATCTAGGGCAACCCACGTGCAGAACGATTTACGAAATCAATAAAGATGGAATCTGTAAGCCAATCGCGAGCGACCGTTCCTCTGTACGTATTTCTTCTCGCGATTATCAGCCGGATAATAGAACAACGTGTTGTCGCTAAAAATTGCTCGCTCCGTTAATAGGAACCACGAATTTATCAAATTCTGACTTGGCTATCGACTTTCTCGGAAAACGTACAATTATCTAATACCGCTCACACATCCCAGCTTTGTTCTTCGCGAAAGAACAATCGAGATACCGATCGCAGGCGGCGTTTCCACGAGCCCGGCGATTAATAATTATCGAGTTGCTGTTCCTCGGCGAAGCGACGATAAGGCTTAAGTTTTACTTGGAATTCTCGCGCTTGAGCCATCATTACCGCGTATCGCATTATCTTCCCCCGACGATTCCAGATCGTTTTAGATTCTCGAATTAGAGCCGGCCGACTCTCGCGGAAACATCTTCGAGGGAAACGAGCGATCCTGATTTTTCCTTCTGACGGGTTTCACGCGGTCGCGTTTCTGATTCCCCAGCGGAAAATGTTATCAAGGAAGTACCGCGAACGCGGTGACGTCACTCGGCTAGACGATCAAATCTGTGCAAGACGCGGATAATCAACGGGAACGGGCAATCGCTATTTTTAACGTTTCGCAGAACCGTAAAGGGAGAGGATCGATTTTTTTTTATCTCGCCGGATACGGCGGATTTCGGGATTCGATATGATATACGCGCGTGACGTGTACGATCGTTCGTTTTTTTATTTGATCGAAATTTAGCATTAAAATGACAAATTGCTACGTTTCGTTCGTCGAAGACGGGGAGCGCTTTTATCTTAGGTATTAAATGCTCGCGGTTTTTTCAACGCCGTGTCAAGAGTTGCGTTTACGGCTTCAGTTTCGTTGCACGACGGAAATAGAACTTCGTTTTATAATTGTACAACGCTGCAGGAACTGTTCTCATAGAAGAATCGTCATCCTGGAAACGAGGGATTGTCGAATAGTTGCGTGTGCGGGAATAACAATCCGGGCTTGACGCTATTTTTAGCGACAAATTAAGGAATCGAGAAATGTATTCGTTAGTTTCCTGTGAAAAAGAGGTTTTGTAATTTCAACAATGTTGATGGGAACAATGCGGAATCGTTTTTTACCAGCACGGTAGGTTTGGTGTTCAGTTTAGAAAATGATTCTACATTAAAGATAGTGTTCAATAGAAATTTTGATAGCTTATTTTATAGCTTATTATTATAGTTATTATTTTATCGTTATCATAGCTATTATTTTACTATTTATTTTACTTTTATTTACTGTTATTATTGTTGTTATTTTATTATTATTATAGCTATTATTTTATTACTATTATTATAGTTGTTATTTTATTATTATTATAGCTATTATTTTATTATTATTATTATAGCTATTATTTTATTATTATTATAGCTACTATTTTATTATTATTATAGCTATTATCAGTTATATTTATAACTTATATTATAACTAGCTTATCGATAATATCGATAACAACAGCATTACATTAAATTTGCAGGTATTTTTTGGCTCCCTTGATCATAACAGCGTAAACCTGAAATCTTAAAAAATATCTTTCAACCCTTCCGGTAAAAATAATGTCAGAATTATTCTTGCATCGCGAACGTAATCTTGCGAAACATCGTGTAACTATTTTACATCGATAACTCGTGTTTAATTTGCTTCAAACAGTGCATCTTTTCCAACACACTTTTCGTGTTTAACTATTGAAATCTCGTACGAGATTTATCGATACTCTGTACAAACTTACGACAAATTTTAAGATAGACAATAGGATCGAAAGCGTGACTCTTCTTCTTATATTCGCAAATTACAACTATCCAATCACAGACTTCGATTGTGTCGTATCTATAGATTGCGCTGTCACAGCACGCGATTCGAGCGTCTCATCTTCTTCAATTACCAATTGTTTCCTCATTCTATTTTCGCACTTTCTACAAAATTAAACACCGGCATATAAAAAAACGACGAAGCAATTTATTGTTCCACAAGCATTGTTTTCTGCTTCGAACAGTCTGAAATATTCTCGTGAAACAGTTCTAGGACACCGTGCTCTAGAAACAAACTGTGTTAACAGGTACGTACGCTACGCCGGCCACCGTCTGCTAAAACTGATGCGACGTGCTCGATACCGTGGGACCATAGTCGATGGCGGATTACGAATGATAAATACTTACACATGTTTCACTGTAAAGTTGAATAACAGACACGTTGCACGTGCGAGAGTCCCATCATCGATCACCGACAATTTCGAGCGTGTGCTTGACACGAAGGCGTCACATCCACGAAGTTTCAAGGATCTCGATACCTTACAGCCGTCGCCGCCGCGCAATGCTTTCTGTGCTATACGATTGTCCTACTTCTTTTTCTTTTTTTATAGAATCGCGTAGAAATTGCACGTTGAATACGCTTGAACGCCGATCGTACGAGGATAGCACGTTCGAATTCGTTTTCTACCGGCAGAGTCTACGAGAAATATGCAGCAGCAGTTTTGTTAGGAATTGGCGACAATAGGTTCCCGCTCTGTGTTAGCAGATACGCATAATATTATCACCGTTCATTTATTCGCATGTGTGTTGCACGCTTCTCGATACGGTATTATCGAGGCAATTATTCGTCTCGCTGGTTGCAGCAGATTAATCGTTGACACGGAGCAGTGTCGTCTATGCTCGGGAGTCATTTTTAAGTTGGGGAATAATTTCTAAGTTGGGAGATAATTTTCAAGTTGGGGGATCATTTTTGAATTGGGGGATAATTTTTAAATTGGGGAATACTGTTTAAATTAGGGAATACTGTTTAAATTAGGAAGTAATGATTAAATTGGGAAATACTGTTTAAATTAGGAAATAATGTTTAAATTGGGAAGTAATGTTTAAATTTGGAAATACTGTTTAAATTAGGAAATACTGTTTAAATTAGGAAAGACCGTTTAAATTAGGAAATAATGCTTGAATTAGGAAATAATGTTTAAATTAGGAAATACTGTTTAGATTAGGAAATACTGTTTAAATTAGGAAATATAATGCTTAAATTAGGAAATAATCTTTAAATTGGGAAGTAGTGTTTAAATTAGGAAATGATGTTTAAATTGGGAAGTAATGTTTAAATTAGGAACCACTGTTTAAATTAGGAAATACTGTTTAAATTAGAAAATACTGTTTAAATTAGAAAATAATGTTTAAATTAGGAACCACTGCTTAAATTAGAAAAATACTATTTTAATTAGGAGATACTGTTTAATTAGGAAATATACTGTTTAAAGTAGGAGATACCGTTTAAATTAGGAACCAATATTTAAATTAGGAACTAATGTTTAAATTAGGAACCACTGTTTAAATTAGAAAATACTGTTTAAATTAGGAAATAATTTTTAAATCGCTAAGAAAATATTAGCTGCTTAAGGTAAGCAGAAAGTGCAGAAATAAATATCTGCATCGTTTAATTTTCCCGCGAAGAATGCAAGCTCCTCGAAGGTCACTAAACGGTGAACGCCACACCATGATGTAGGAAATGGGATTCTCGGAAGCCGAACTCGGACTTCTCTTCCTGTACCGTTCCCAGTATTTTAATGGTGTTCAGTTTTGCGACGTTGAACGTCTACCTTCGGCAATTCGCTGTAACTGTACATTGTTTGTCAGTATAAACCGTCAGCCGTTAAAAAATGCTGAAAAACGATCGGTTTTCAAGAGAACCGGTTTCAAAAATATAAAATCAAACGATTAACAGAACTCTTCAGAATTAGTTACGAATTAAACCGACACATTCATTGCTCATTTTATAAACAATATTGAACGTACCGTATTCCTCGTTGAATCGTTCAAATTATGTATTTATTTATTTATTAATGCCTCAAGCCAGATGGTTTATTTAGATGACTTTAACAGGGTTGTTGTGTTGGTTTTTCTTTTTTTTAAATAATACGGAGTATTAATCTGGGAGTATTATAAATTTCGAACGTATTATTCTATAATAATAATAATAGTAATAATAATAGCAGTTGCAACGTTTTCATCGTTTTGCAAGATTTGATGCGAGGAGGGTAGCTCGCAAAAAAGATCGTCTTGGTCGTTCAAGATGGCTCCCCGAGAAAAGTATATTGAACCACCCGAGGTATACTTGGAAGGTGACCTAAATTCACATATACACGATCTTCGCAATCATGGTGTACCATGTACGTGGAGCGTCCAATGCCAACCGGTTGGCGTTGTGCAATGTGACGTAATAAGAGACTGCCATCGGTGGCTGAGACACTCGTCATAATACATACCTATTCGATCGCATACTCGTACCAAGACACCAGGATCAAAGTTGATCACTATCATTCGTACAAACTAAATTGTCAAAATTCGCTATTTTATCTTTTAAGCAGAAATCTAATTCTCTTCAGAATACATTCTCAAATTGTAAAGAAAAGGAAGGGTTCTATTGTAATCTAATTATCATAGTCCATATTATTATGTTAGACTTTAATGTCAAAGGTTTCTAGTCTAATATACGTGCAATGCAATTTCATAATTTATTCTTCATTATTCTTATATTTATTATATAATAAATTATATTCATAATATATTTATTTTTATTCTTATATATATATATTATATAATAAATATAATTCTTACATTTATAATATATTTATTTCTATTCTCATATATTCATATGTACCTCTTATATTTATTATTATATTATATATTAATTAATAATATTATTATATTATTATATAGAATATAAGAAATATATTATGTATATTTTATTCTCGAAGAAATTGGGAATAAAAATCTAATTTCTTCTTATATTTATTATTAATTTCATATAAATGTTTGTTCGTTCCCACAATACGATTTCGATCGAACGTTATATCTGCCAGATGTGATCTGTTTCTCTCGATGAATTTGACCATGATTTTGGACATTTTAATCTGTTGCAGATATGCGGCGTAGGTATCTTGACGATCGGCGTTCTCGCACACCTGCAACTGGCCTCTGAAAGCAAAGATTTCAGCACACCCGTTGCGTTCCCGGCGATAACGTTAATAGTCCTGGGAAGCATAATCTTTGTAATCTCGTTCTTCGGATGCTGCGGCGCCATTCGGGAAAGTCATTGCATGACGATCACCGTGAGTACACACACACCCAGCAACCGGAGAAAACAATGCTGCTACGAGCAACTCGAAAATTATCCGACTGCGTTTTAGTTCGCGTCGTTCCTTCTCCTGATCTTGCTGATACAAGTGGCAGTCGCGGTATTCGCTTTCGTGGTCGTCAAGGATGCCGATGTGAGGGAGCAGTACGTGATACAATTCGACAAATATCACACGAGCAATTCCAGCAAGCAAGTCGTGGATCTGTTTCAGGAGAAGGTAAGCGACAAACAATTCTACAACATAATAAATCCGTGACAATTCGATTTAGTAGCCCTCCAAGCTCGAGCTTGAATGCTGGAGCGATTAACGCGATCGTCGGAAATCAACCCCTGAGAATGATCAACAATGATTCTGAAACGTTGAATAACTCCGTTTTCAGTTGGAATGCTGCGGTATCGATTCTCCGAACGATTACCACGAGTTAACTCTTCCCGCGAGTTGTTGTGGCCAAAAGGAAGCTGTTTGTCTTGTGAGGGATGCTTACCAGCAAGGTTGTGTAACAGCAATGAAGAATATGCTACACCTTATTGGATCCGTGTTAGGCGGCGTTGCCATCGCTGTTGCTGCAGTTGAGGTAACTTCCGTTATGAAACTATGAGACTTAGGTGAAAACGCGTCTACCTCGGGACACGAGATGTCGAAATTGATTTGGTCGAGAGCCACGAATCCCATAAAAATAGGGGCAACGGGGCGTACATTGTATTCGCTGAAATGTTCAAGTTCTCGTAAGAATTGCTGGTTATTTTTCGCACATCTAGCTTCAATTTTTGCTGGAAATTTCGAACTTCGTTTTCTCCGTGTTAATAATACGAAAGGATTCGAATTTGTCGACGCGCCCGCGCAGAAATGTCAAGGAAGACTCTCGCGCATTTATACGATGCAAAACAGATAATTCAGTATTAATAATATAGAAAATAAGGATGATTCTTCTCTTGCCGGTGTCGTAAAAACCGGGGTAAATTTCGCTACGAATTATCGATTCCTTAAAATATCAAACTGCTCGCCGAAATTACTCGCTCTTTTTAATTCCGAGGATTTATTATTCGGCTATAGATGGCGCCTCCCTGTAAAACCTATTGAAATCTATATTTAGCGTTATTACACGTAGCGGCCATTACGCGTGAAAGTTCGAGCGTTTTGCCGCCGCGTGTAACGGCGGCGCTGCTGTCGCATTTTCAGTCGCGCGTATAATTCGTGCCGGATTCGATGTTGCACCCTATGACGGAAACGGCAAGAATCATCGGTTTTCGTTATTTTCGATAATAAATAAATCTTTCTCGCCTGTGGTAGCTGCGGGAGCTTCTTCTGAACATTTCTGTGCCTCCGAACAATCTTTTAGCCGTTCAATTTTTTTGATAAAAGAGATTGAACCCGTGTACGCGAAGCAATTTGAAGGAAGTAGGACGTTGTTTCGTTGATTGTTTAAATAATATACGTATGGTGCAGGTATGAATAATGTTGTTTTCTTGCAGTTGGTCGGGATCATCTTCGCGCTCTGTTTAGCGAACTCCATCAAGAATACAGAGCGCAGGGGTTACAGAGTGTAACGAATTATTAAGGATTATTAAGTATATACGTTGCGTAAACAGTAAAGAAATAACACTACTCTACCATTTATAATTCGGCCGTTGAAAGCGTGGTAGACGTAACAAAACAATTGTAATGCATCCAAACTTAGGTAGTTCTACGAACGAACGGGATTTAGGAGCAAATGGGACAATGAGAAGATGATGCCTTTTTATTCGAATTACTGCGGAATCAATTGTTTACGTTCGAAACTTAATCTTTGTATGTGATATTGAATGTATAAACGTATTATTTAATGTATTTTTTATTTTGATATATTTTTTTCCATTGATTTGGATATATTTTTTATTTACGATAGACGAAACACAATAGTAATAATAGTTAATAATTAAATATTAATGATGTTCGTAATCGGTAATCGGTGCAAAGTGTGTCTGTTAAGCAACTTAACGTTTAGTTCTCTCCGTGTTGTCGACCGTTTAACAACTTACCTAGCATTCTTGCACGCGATCGGAACAAATTTCTCGTTTAAACGAGCCCGGCGGCGGCTTCTTTTCCTTTCGGAGTAATATAATTTATATATATATAGTTAGTTCGAATGAAAAAAGGAAAAAATAAAAATAAAAGAGGAAACGTTACATTCTACAACATTCTCAGTTTCGGATAACGAAATGTTAAATCACAGTGCGTCATTCTGGTTCCGCGAACGTATAAAAAAATATTTTTATAATAATATTTCACGTCACTTACAGAGATGCTTTTATAAGATATAATTCATATTGTTGTTTGTACAGCACGTTAGTCACTATATATATATATTTCTTTTTTTTTCCAGAGAGTAACGTTGAACGATATACATTTCCCATTTAATAAAACTCTATTTTCTCGAGAAAGCGTTGTCTGTCATTGCGATCCATCGTCCACGATTTCTCGTCCGTGAAAAGGGGACCGTAATCGAAACTCGACACCGTATAGAGTTCATGATTCGTCGTGATCGAGCGTGACCGAGCCACCAGCTATTTACATGCAAAATCAGACCATCGACGTAACCGAATAATATTCCGTTGTTCGTTGAATTATCTGTCTATCGTAACGAACGGTCAAAATACGATCAAGTGGACTATTAAATATATATACATATATGTATGTACGTATACATATGTATATATATTTATATTTGTATATATATTTATGTGTGTTCACGTAGCAACGTTATATCGGTAGTTTAGTAGGAACGGTTTTCTAAACTGAACATCGATCATGCGCCTTTACATTCGTTATATTGTCGTTATTTATTAAGTTCAAGAGAAGATAACTTACATCTGTTTGTGTGTGTGTGCTATAATACATACTATTTACAGATTCCCCAGATCTCACATACGCGGCGACGAAATCGATCGATCCTCCTCCCGGTTTTCCCTCTTGTTCACCCGTTTCGTTTATATTCTCGTTTCGATCGGCCGGCGGGGTGGGAGCAGTGCTTAGTAATCGGTACCCTCGGTATAATGTAACTTACACGTATCTTACGGCTATGTGTTTCATTGATCGGCTTCAGGACAAATGTTGTTTCTCCGTTCTTCCTCGAAACTCCTTCGTTGTGGTTACTAAACGTTAAAATTAGTCGTATAATACCATTAACATCTCTATGATAACTAGATACAAATTATACGCGACACATCGTTCCCCCATTCTTTTTTATCTCTCTCTCTCTCTCTCTCCTCTCTCTCTCTCCCCCCTTTTTTCGTTCTCGTGATTATGCGTTAACGTAAAGAGTTGGATCCGGGCTTTCGGATCGCACGTCCCGAGCCAATTTCAACGACTCGCGAGCGGTTCTCGCTTTTGCGATCACCGTGGAAACGGATCGACGCAAAGCACCCAGCTATCGCGTTGCGCCCATTCGATTTTGGCCCGAACAGTCCGCTCAAACCCGAACGAACGACGATTGCAACCGGTTTTCGCTTTCGCGTAATCGCTGCTTCGCCGCCGCGGCATTCGTCGACCGTGCCTTCTACAGATCGATTAAATCGGAGACCGGCTGAATCGGTTGAATAAAATAGACAGGTTTACGGGTTCCTCGTATATTTCGACCACCATGTTTCTCCGTTTCTAATTAGATCGAATCGCTGTATTCGAGGGAGAAGCGACCGCCCGTTCCGTTCGAATGTACCCTCCGAAATACTGATTCGAATGATTGGATGATGCCGCGCGACGCCGTTGGACATTGTTATACAAGACTAACGCGCGAGCAAGCGGCACGGCTCGAGCGAATTAGCAAAGAAGCATATAAAATCCGGCAGGAAATGAAAATGGCGTCGCTGAAATTTCGTTTCGCGACAGCTAAATCGCGATACCATTCGATCTCGAACTACAGTAATTTCTCCGTAATTCGTGATCAGATTGCGCGCAAAAATGAACAATTTAGGGAGAGGAGATGCGATTATTCGAGCCTCGCGGCTCGTTTTTATAGTTATTCACGCCCGAATCGTCGATTTTTGTGCGCGATCTGACCGCGAATTAGCGAGAAATTGTGCAACAACTCGGATCATAATTAACCTAATCGATGATACACGTCGGAAACGTTGCCGCCGATGCTAACCGATTTGTTGCTTCGACACGTTTCATCGAAAGACTCGACGAACGTCGCAACCATAAACGGCGTATGCGAGAACAATTTCGCAGGATCCGTGCAAACAAAAATTGCGCGAAGTTACATCGTTATCATTTTTATAAACAGAAGCTACCGTTCTGCAGCGTTCGCTTGATCGACGAGACCATCGCGGGCTCGATTAGGACCGCAACGAACTCCGAATACACCGGGTGACGCGAGAATAGGAGATCGTCGATTCGGAAACCAGGCAGCAAATGGATGAGCCGTGCTCGATAAACGGGGGCGCCGTCTTGAAATCGCAGGATCTTTGTTCACCAGGCGTCGGTCCAATCGATTGACAATCCGTGCGGTCGTAATGGAACGTCTATTTACTCGTAAAATATCTCGATCTGTTACATTAACATTACACGGACTAATGATATCTTCTCGTCGCTCCGTTCGACCGGTCGTTCTCTGCGAACGCGTTCCCCGTGCAACGAAAAACTCTCCGTGCGAACGGCGACGAAACGTCCGTTCGCCGCGAGCATAAGTACTTACGTTAATCGCCGGTCGTCTCTTCCTCCTTATCGTCCACGAGCGTGTCACGCGTGCTCTCTACAGTCCGGCGACGAGAAAGGAAACGCCGCGGACACAGAAATTCGCGTCTCGTCGCGTCAGCCGCCGAATGGAAAAAGCGGTGTCCCGACGCGACCGAGCGTAGAGATCGCGACGATCGTCCGGCGAACAGTACAAATTCATAAAAAATCGTCGAACGGCCCTTAATCTAGAGTCTCTAAGCTCAAGGTTTCGGAAGATGACGCGCGCGTGCCGCGCGCGTTTCTGTTTTGTAAAACGTAGAAACATTCTAATCGCCCTCGCAACTGTTTTCCTTTTCCTTCTGGAAATCGCGGTCTTCTTCATCGTCGTCGTCGTCGTCGTCGACGTCGTCTACATTCGCTGTGCGTGACGCGAGCTTAAGATAGAACAACGGTCGCGAGTTCGCGGCGTTATTTCTCCCGGCTCGGCGGGGCCGCCGCGCCGATGGAAGCACTGGAAACGCTTTTGGAAACGGTTCGATTTCTTCGAGATCGCGGCGTTAAACATGGCCGCGGTTAGCTCACCGGTCTACAGTCTACGCTCTAGCAGCGTTCCGACCACGTTTCACAGGAGTTCACCGATGCACCGAGTGCAGCGAGCTCTCTTGAATTGTCTCCTGGCTCGCGAACGAAGGCGGACAGAAGAGAAGAAGCGCGAGCCCCGCGGCTCGTTTTCGTAGTCGCAAACAACCGTGACAACGAGCCGTGAATACAATAATCGGCAATAATCGTGTCTGCTTTTTCCAAATTGTCCATTCTTTGTTCGCGAGCCGACAACAATTGGCCGAGGAAGCGTCGCGCGTCCTCCGCGAGGAGATCCGTCTCTCGCTCGGCGATTCGAGTCGGTCGCTCGCGCGACTGACGACCGTTCGCCGACCGATTCCGCTAACAATTGATTAATTAATGTGCTCGAGCATGAAACGTAGGGAACCTAAGACCGCAGGGTGCCATTGTCGCGCCATTTGCTTCGGCAAATCCGTCTTCGATGCGCGTCCTTCCCGGGATACATATAAAAATCGCGTCGAAGATCCGACCTCCGTTCTGTATTCGTTCGAAAACGAGCCGCCTATTTACAGATTCCGATGGGAGGCGAGCTCGGGACATTGTTCAGGGTGCAGCGGATCGCTGGGGATCAGATCGGCGCAGGAGATTCCTCGGCGACAGGCAAACTCTGTCCCGTTGATTCGATCACGTTCGCGCCATTCGAGCGCGATACGTTCGCGAGCTCCTAAATCTACCACGACGGTCATTTCGACCGGTTTTACAGTTTTTGTTTTGTTTTAAGATTGTTTACGCTGTAAAGGCTCTTTCGTCGGAAATGATCGAATCGATTTCGAAATTCGAGCGTCGATCCATCGTTCCCTCCGTACAGCGTCGAGAAAGCGTGGAATTCTCGCGTGGAATATATAAATAGATAGCGAAGATTAGACCGCCGATTTTCTGCGGAAGGTACGAAAATTGATAGAAACGAGAAATAAATGTTAGATTGGCGTAAATGTTTCCTCCACGATTTGCGCGCTTAACGCTTTAATGGCCGCTCACGTAACACGTGTGTGATGCTTTAATTATTATGTAGGCGATTGCTTTGATAATTATCTCACGAAGGAAAAATATGAAATTTGTTGTATTAACACTAGATTTACGGAACCCGTCGAAAAGACGGGTCACAGATTTTTTAATTTACAATTATTCATATCGTAAAGATACGTTCCTGAGTTATTTATTCAATTTGTATGTTACTTACGGCAAATGTTACAATAACCCTTGTTAAAAATCAGAATAAATGTCTTATTGTTACTTTTATCAACTAATATAAAACAGTTGTTTTTTATGTAAATCTAGTGTTAAATATGTCCTTATTGTTGTTCTTCCTTTCTGTTTTATGTGTATGTTCGCACATATTGAATTATTTAATTAATTTACATAAATATTTCCGCCTCCTGGCGACGTTCGACTGCGCAGACGAGCGGCCATTAAAGTATAATGATCGACAGGCAACATTATAAGCGTATCTACAAACAACGTCGCCATCTTTTCGTTGCTGTTTGACTTCTTTTACTACCGTTATTATCTCAACATTTTCTATTATTATCGATTATTAAGACAGCAAGCGCCTAATCGAATCTTGTTCCTTATTTTTGCGATCGGTGCACTCATTGTTTTGCATAAAGACCTGCAGTCTACGTGACGGTGCTGTCACAGAGGGAATGCATAGGATCTCTCCGCTCGGACGATCGCAACTCGAACAACCCGAGGATCAAGTGCTTCAAACTAAAACGGGTTGGTTCGTCTCACGAGTCAATGTTACTCGGACACGCGAATTCCAGGCCTCTCGGATTTTCTGTACATTGTTCACCGGACCCTTGATTTAGCGTCCTAGATCGATACAACATCGATGTATCGAGAGGACTGTTTCCGAATCCGAAGGCCGCGCGAAACCCGCCTGAAGATTAGGTTCGCCCGCGTCAAGGAACTCTTTGTTGTGGAACTCTTCGCGATTAAATCGCGCATCGAAGTGATCTTCGTTAATATCAGATCGGAAGATGTGATTGAACAGAATTTACAAAATGATTTCGAGCGGCGACGAGAAAAATTCGGCGAAAAATTCTGCGTCGAGACGAATTCAACGATTTATAGTGTAATTTCTGGCTAATTCGCGTTCAGATTTGCGCACGAAAGTGCACAATTTGGGAAGAGGAGGTACGATAACTGTAAAAACGTGCCGCGAGGCTCGAATAATCGTATCTCCACTTCCAAAATTGTCCGCTCTTTAGCGCAATCTGAGCGCGATTTAGGGAGAACTTTGTATACACCGCGATGTTCTTCGGAAGCGAATAAACTATTTTCGCTCTGACAGATACAAAGCAACGAAATCTATCGAAATCTATGTTCGGAACACTCGTTCGAACAGCCCTTGTACTTCCGGGAAATATAGGGTCCCTGAGATCATTCGAAGCAACTTTTTCCTTTACAAAAATGTTCTCCGAGGCTTCGTTTGCGAGTTATCAACGATAAACACTGACCAATGAGGTGCGAGCTCGGCTGGCGCGTGGCGGTCGAGCCAACGAGCGGTCGCCGCCTAGTTCCGCCTCCCGCCAGCCGAGCTCGCCTCTCATTGGCCACTGTTTTTCCTCGATAACTCGCAAACGAAGCCGCGGATCGCATTTTCGCTGAGGAAAAAGTTGCTTGAAATAACCTCGCGAACCTCTCCGTGCCATAATTTTGGGACAAAGAAAAGGCGTGGCGGCAAGCGAGCCGAACAAGGAATTTCGTAAATCGTGAATCATTGAACCAGTTTGCCTATCGCCGGAGAGGATCCCCGCGGGTCGCGCGGCTTCAGTGGAGAGTTTTGCCTCGCAGCTGCTCGGAGATCGGCGACAGCTTCACGATGTCGGCGTGAATCTCGGCGGACGGCGTCTCGTCCAGCTCGATGAGACTGGCGTTGGAGCCGGTCGACGACGGCACCACGAACTCGTCGAGGAAGTCGAAGGAGGCCACAGCTTCGCGTTCCTTGTCCCCGTATCTGACGAAGAAGTCGTCGCCCCGACCGATGATCGACGGCCTGGACGAGCCCCAGGTTGACGGCAGTCGCAGCACACGGTGTGCCTGGGCCGCCGATGCTGAGAAACCAAGCGCAGCGGGTCAACATGCCTCAGACCTCACTTGATCTCTTTTCTCTCTCTTCCTATACCGGCTCTAGCAGACACAGAGTAGCTCGGCTTAGCACTCTCACACGTATTCACCGCCCCTCTCTCTCGTTCTCTCTCTCCCTCACTCGTCTCTGTCGTAGCTTTTACGTATTTTGTCTTTTTTTTGTTTGTTTGTTTGTTTCGAATCTTTTTTCTCGTTTATCCGTACTTAGTTACTTTTTTTTGTTCGTTTTTTTTTGTTATCCGTTCCGTTACATTTTCGTCCAACTATCCCGTCCGTCCCTTTCTCCGCCCTTCGTCGACACCGTCGTGCAACACATGCGCGTCAGTTAACTTCTCTCGTGGATCGTCTCCCCTTCTCAACCGAGATTAGAGTCGCATTGGCTGGCACTCGACCACGTGTGCGCGAGTAATTAGAGAAGACCGCGGATCTTTAGGCGAACTTGCGGGGCGCGACTTATTGCTCGGAACGCGATCGCCGGCGCTTCTCGTTTCGCAATCTCCTGCGAGCTAACGCGACGCAGACTAACGCGAACGATGATCGGCGGACCGCGGATTTTATTTGTTCGCGACGGAAAGGAGTTGGGCACAATTTGACGCAGCAAAGGGATGAAACGAATCTCAAGATCTCTGTGCCTATCATTTTCGGTCTACTTGAACGATTCGAGCGAAAGCGGGCTCGCCCCGTTTAGTTTCAACGTTTCGCAATCGACAATTTCTATTTTAAAATCCGCAGTCTGATGACTGTACGATCGCTGTTGATGCCGGCAGATAAAAGACGTCGCCTAAAGATCCGCAGTCTGGTAGAATCAGCTTCAAGCGCGTTCGCTATCGTCGCTCGAACTCGAAGGCCGAAACAGTGAATCCAGTAGGAAAACAACCTACTTTCAGTGTTTATTGCACGCCGAAGATGCGACCAGAACTGCGAAATGAATTCTTGTCCCCACTGGATGCATCGTCTCGTCGTCTTCGAGTGTTCGCGCAGCGATGTCCAACTACGTTGGAACGAACGTGTAACGTGATCGTTTCTGCGATAGAAATGCAACGGTAACGAACGCGTCGAGGGAAAGGGTGGATTACATTGTTTCATCGTCGCGAACATCAACGAGCACTACTCGTCCGCTACGATTGATGCGACACGACTGGAGGAAATGAAGTTTGTGTTAGACATTGCAAGACGATGGCGGAGACGTGTTGGCCGTTCAAGGGCTGCGACCGTTGCTCGTTTAGTTCCTCGTTATCTTCTCGTTATCCTTGTTCTATACGATCTTATCCTCGTCGCAAGATTTCGCTGTCGCGTCTCGTCGCGGCCTTGAACCGCCAACAGTTTCTGGTCCAGGTGGAGGGTACGATTCGTGTTAACACAGAGCTCGAGAGAAACAGCGAAATAGTAGAGGTATCATGATGATGAAGAACAGCGAGAACGTTGTGTATAACGGTCGAGCGCCCGCCAATGGTATTTAGACAGTACCGAATCTTATACATGTAGAATGAGAGAGAAAGTAACTGTTTTATTCCGACCTTCGACGCAATTCCTCGGGGCACTTTCGAAACGGTCCGCGCGCAATTGTTCGCGCGTAGCGAACAATGCAACGCGCGCGAAACGCGTCAGCGCAAGAATTCTCCGTCGGAGACCATGAGCGACGAGCTAAGAGAGTAAAAAAAAAACAAAAAAACACAAACAGAACAATCGTCGAGAGATATAGTTGTGTAGTGTAGACAGACGCGTTCCTGAAAGGCCTACGGAATCGTGGAATTGCGTGAAGGCGACCGACAGCGAATTCGTTCTAATACGTCTTCTTGTTAATAATCTGTTAGTAAGCCAATGGAAAATCCGTTGTTGCCGTACAGTTCACAGTTGGAATGTAGGTCCCGGCGGAACGATTCCTCCCAAACTGGCATGTCGGTTACAGAAACTGATCGTCACTAAGCCGAACTACGTAGCTTTTCTTGTGACAATCAAAGCACACCGCGTAGGAGCTACCATCTGAACAGAAAACGTGGAAAAGGCTATGTACAGCGAGGGCTACTCTAGCGTTCGTGTTTCTGTGCGTGTTTTCTGTGTGTGCGTGTGTGTGTGTGTCTGTGTGTTCGGTTTCATTTTATTCGTGACTGTACAGGTGACGGTGTTAACCCTTTGCGCTCGAGTGCGAACCTTTGCGACTCCGAGTCGCCGTTCAAAACTGTTGTGTCACGTTTCAAAATAATTTTATTAAATTATTATTATCATAATATATAATAATAATAATAATAATATATATATTATTATTTATATATATTTATATAATATAATATAATAATATGCTGTGCGAGCTGTGTTACAATAATAATATATATAATATATAATATATATATAATTATCATAATCATAATTAATCATATAAATATTATATATATATTATTAAATTATATTTAAAGAACTGTTGAAAGCGTAATTGTTGCACGAGTCGCAAAATTCAATTTCATATGTTCATAATTGGATTCTATAAAATGGAAATATCGCGGGTCACTAAAACTATTTTAAATTGTGTGTTAATTTGGCTTCGAGTGCAAAGGGTTAATCGTCAACGGTCGTAACGTGTTAACAAAGTTAGTGCAGAGCCCACGCTAACATACGCGCCACGTTCTACAATTGTCTTCGGTTCGCCGAACGATTTTCGTTTAAATTATTTGGAATTTCTTTCGCATTAAATCTACCGAGAGAGAGAGAGAGAGAGAGAGAGAGAGAGAGAGAGAGAGAGAAAGAGAGAGAGAACTCTAATCTGCAATTAATCTATATTATTTTATAACGACGAAAAGACCTTTTAACCTGTCATTTCTGATTAAAAAGTTTTTGCCTCGATTAAGAAGTATCCTCAATTATTTTCTCCGAAGAATTTCTTTCAATTGCAGCATCTTCGAATCAAAAATCGTAAAAATTCATCTTGACCGGCTCGGTAGATTTATCGTCGAGAAATACGACAAGACCGTTCAGCAAACCTAGAATTCACGTTCTCTGTACTCTGCTAGGGTCGAAGAGATCTCGTTGCATTGGGTTACGCAGCCCCCAATCGACGCATTTCGATGATCGTATTTCGCGCGAGTACGAGACGAGCTTTTCAGACGGACAATTAAACGAACCGAATGCTCGCGAATTAGTTCGATGATATAGCGTATGGTGTAGCGTATATTAGCGTGATTCTTGCCATGTTTGTTAGTGGATGTTATATACTGAGATGTGAGAAGCGGAAGCGAGTCTCTCATACTTCATTCACGAAACAAGATTGTGGAAAGATGTGTTGCCGTTCAGTAGCACCGAGGTTCCCGTATAACAATGACAGAGGAACAAGCGTTTAATGAATGATCGACGTTTACCACGATAAATATGTATGTAGAGACACACACACAGAGAGAGATTCTACGGGATCGTCGATTGAAGATAACAAATGTATGTATGTATGTAACTCGTGACCATGGATCCAAAATTGTGTTTGGAAATTGATGCTGTCGAACACATCTCGACAACAGTGTTAAGCGGAAGGTACAGTAATTGGAGGATATAGAATATATCAGAGTGGTGTGCAAGATTGGACAGAAGAGATGCCCTCGGACAAGAGGGGATCCTTTAGCAAATACCTTTTTTCTGACGTCGGTGTCGGTGGAGTCTGTGCAAGTGACGGTAATCCGGTGGTTCATCCCCCGAGTCACTTCCGGCTGATCCGCTGCTCGATGCCGCCGATGAACTTTCGCTGCTTGCTAGCATCACGTCTAAAAGATTGGCTCTTGCCTGCGGATACAGAACTTTGTCAATAACTGTTCTGTTCTTAGTGGTAGACGTTTCTTTAATCCTCGCACGCGGAATGACTTTCTTAACAATGAATTCATCGAGCAGGTCGAAACGCGCTGTTTCCACATTTCTGATTTTGAAGTTAACCCGTTGCACTCGAGGGGTGTCGAATTTGTTTATACAGGGTGTTCCGCAATTATTTTAACAGCCGAAAATGAGGGATAGCTGAGGTCATTTGAAGTAACTTTTCCCTTTAATCACCGAAGATCTTGACACAAGGAAATCAATCAAGTACTATTTTCAGCAAAAATTGTACTTATTGAATTTTGAAACCCTCGACCTGCTCGATTTTTGTGCTGTCACCCCGGAGAGCATTATATGATCAAAGAATATTTCTTTCGACTTACTTTGTTGACTTTTGGCTTTCGTACACGAATTTGCCCGATTTCTAGACCGCGGATCATTATGCAAAATAACAGTTCTCCAAGATGATCGTAGGAAACAGAAATTAAATACGAATAAATTGTCTTTTACAATAATTTTGACAAGATCATTAAATTAGTATTAGTATCATTAAAAATGCTTCTTGCGTCCTCATAATTTTACATGTCAAGCTACTCGTTGTAGCATTTGTTCCCGCAAATGTTGCATGAAATCCGCAGTCGATTTTGCATGAAATCCGCCGATTTCAGCTTACTTTTGGGTCGGTGAAGTCAATGTCTCGTTCAACGTGAACCCATCCAGTTGGACAGCAGCAAGCGAGGTCCAATTTCTCGAGCGGCACCTGGGTATCTTGCATTAGGGTCTCCTCGCCCTTCCTGATCATTCGATTCAGTTCGTCTATCACGTCCTTCGACGTGGCGCGTTCGTGGAAGCTCAGTGATCGATTCCTGCCCTCGATCAATAGGGGTGCTCTCGCTGGACTGACCTGCTCGCCGTAAAATCCACCGTGTGACAACGGCAACACAACCATTCGCCAGTCGTTCGATCACAAAATTACCGAATCTCTCTCCAAAGAGCATTGAATTTTGGACTCGACAACTGTCGACGACTATCTCGACGCAAAGTCAATCGTTCTGGGTGAAAGTTAAGCTCGATGAAAGCGGTTTTGGAGAGCGAGGTAACTTCGAATGAAACAGACTATACATAGCAGGACTTACAACCGTGCTAGGTGTAGAGGAAGTGGCCGCCTCCTCGTCTTCTTCGGGAACGGCTCCCAGTTCTGATGGCGCCACCGTGGTGTAAGAGACGCCCCCGTTGCAAGCCACTGCACTGATTATTCTCTCCTCGGGTGCCAATGACGGCACAGGTATCTGATCCAGCAGATCGTCGTTGCTGCTCGCCTCGACGGCATTCTCACGGCGACTGTTCTCATGATCGACGGTTGTCTCGACGTCGGTGTACGCCGTGTCCGCTCCACAGTCCTCCTTGCTTCTAGCCTCGTCGAGGACTACTTCGAAAGCGAATCATTTTTATTTCATGCCGAACGCATCGTTTCTTAAGATTATCACGCCAATAAGGGGATCAGGAACTTTGACACTGAACCTACTCTGCTAATCGAAATGTCCAGTCTCGCATTTTTTATTTAAAACTTAGTGAAATTCTGAAGACTGTCTCGTAGAACAGATTTTGCAGATTTGAAAGAGCTTTTGCTTTCACTGAATAGATAAGGGTTCGAAGCAAGTAAAATAAAAGAACAGAATAAATATCTGATAAAAGAATAACAAGATAAAAGTGCGATAAAATGTCCGATAAAATGTCTGATAAAAAAAAAAATGTCTGATAAGAAAACGGAAGTTATTTACGAGCTAATAAAAATGGCGAAAGGTCTCGATAAATTTAGTCTGGACATTTTTCTGAAGTCAGTCAGCTGTTTACAGCTCGGTAGCCTCAGTGTCGGAGCGAATAACAGAGCAGAAAACGAACCTTCGGTCGTCAAAGACGCGTTGTTCTGCTCCAGAAGGTTGCTAGGCAGCTCGGCTAGATACATCTGTTGTTCAGCGATGAAGGACAAAACGCTCTGCAGGGCTTGCTCCCGGTCTGGCGGCGGTCTTCCGCTTCTCGACGACGTGCTGGCCAAGCTCTTTGTGCTCTCGAACTTCACCAGCCTGTAGAAGTCTCTGGTGAAGTCGGTGCCGATCGATGGCGATTCTGGGTCGTCGCTGCAGCCGGATAACGCCGCGGACGATCTCTTGCTCGAATTCTCCAGCGCACCGTCCTCGCTGCTCCAAGAAGCTCCGGGACTCGTGGCGTATGGCCACGATCCGGTCGTTCTTGCGTCCATTAAGAGCGCGACCTGCGCGACAAGATATGTTAAAACGGTGTATTTCGAGGTGACGGAGGAATCGACGTCGAGGAACTTCTGCGAGATCGTGAGCAACGGAAATGTTGCACAATAATCCACAATTTTCCTTCAACTTGTGTTTAAAAATGGAGAATTCGTTTCATTTTTATAATCGCCGATTGTCAACAATTATAAGAACGAGGCGCAAGGCTCGAATAATCTCCTCTTCCCAAATTATACACTTTTGTGCGCGATCTGTGCGTCAATTAGGAAGAATTTACTGCAATTATACCGCAGATTTTATGCATTTACGAGAAGGACGAGTAGATGTAATTTAAAATAGTAAAGAGATCGAAAGAATTAAAGAGTATAATTATAAGCAGGGATTGCGAGGTTCCTGAAGTGATTTGAAGCAACTTTTTCCTTTGCAACAATTTTCTCCGAGGCATCGTTCACGAATTATTAACGAAAAACACTGGCCAATGAGAGGCGAGCTCGGCTGGCGCGAGGCAACCGCGCTAACGACCGCCCAGTTCCGCTGATTGGCTCGGCCCCGCCTCGCGCCAGCCGAGCTCGCCTCTCACTGGTCACCGTTTTTCGTTAATAACTCGAAAACGAAGCCTCGGATTGCATTTTCGCCGAGGAAAAAGTTACTTCAATTGACTTCGGGAACCTCTCGGCACCATAATTTTGGGACACCCTGTCGCGGCTGGGTGCAGTCGCAGTCTACGTTTCGCCTCGAGGGAATTGACCGTGAGAGAAGAATAGGGGAAGCAATATTTAGAGAGGATCTCGGTGTCTGGAGTAATATCAATTGCGTTCAGTTTATTCCGTAACAACACACCAATTCTCCACCGGTTCTATCAGCAAGGTAACTGGCGCCATTCCATAAGCATTCGTTCGCGTCCTCTTCCAATTCCAGGGGATTATGCTCCTTGATTGCAGGGAGGGCGGGGGTGGTGGTGGCGGCGGCGGGCTCCTTCCATACCATGGATTCATTTTGAACAAGGTCCTCGGTGGACAACGAGAAACTCCAATCTTCCAGTTCCGCTCTGTCGTATTCCAACTCGAGGAGATCCCGATGTTGTTGAGCACTCCTACTGTCGTCCAACCTGAAATTTATCTCGCCGTTTAATCGGTGCCGCGATCGTGTTCTTCTTTAAATTGAACACGCTAACGGGGCCCCGACCTCTCGCCGACCCTTGAGGTTTCTTTTATCCGGCGAGAATTCAATTTCGCTCCCTTATCTCCCGTACACAAATTGCATTGATACCTACCGCGGCTAGACACCCAGGGGTTCCGAAATTATTTAAAGACGTACTTACAGGCCTCGGGAGAGATTAGATGCAACGTTGCAAGCGATTCAAAACGCGGACTCTCTGTTTTATCGGCGATTTGATCTTGTTAACCGTTATGCTTAACAACCCTTCATATTTATTGCCCCTCGGAAGGGCTCCTCGAGTTATTAACCGTTTACTTAACCCTTTACGATCGGACGTAAGCTTGGAACACCACTTTCGTTCAGACCATGTTATTTGCCTGAGGATCTCTATGATTATTATTATGCTTATTCTTATGTTTCATAAGAAGTAGACTAGGCTTCTATTTTATGACGCATATTGTTCAATGTCTAATGTTTATTTTGCAATGTTTATCGTCTTCTGCAAGATTTATTTTATACAATGTATTGCTCGAAGATGTAAGAATAGAGGATTCAAACTATCTCTAACAAAACTTGAACAATTTTCGTTTAAACAGTTAATTGGTAGATGTCCTAATTATCAAGAAATTCAATTGAATTTGCCAAGAAATTTTTCATTATTCTCTGAATTATATTTCTAAAAAATTATACGACCACATTTGTAAAAGAACACCCCTTACCAGGCCGCTGACACATGATATTGGCAGGGGTTACTTCGAAGTGCTGTAGCTTCGCGAAAAAAAATCGCAGCCACGATCCGTTTTTATCAAATTAAAGAGAAAAGATCGAAGTTAGTCACACTGTAAACGACATCCCCAAGAAAAATTTGACAAAGTCCGTGTATTTCGGCAAACTTGGCTATTTTCAGTACAACAAACATGGCCTTACATTTAGAGGCGTACAGTGGCAAGGATACGCCGCCCTTAAAATCAAGATACAGCGACTTAAAGTAGAGGTTTCAAGCTTTAATTTAAAAAAAAAGATCATCACGCTACGACGATTTTTCGCTTAGTTATCGACGATCAAAGTTGGTCAACTGTTTCTCGAAAATTTGTCTATGCTAAAATATTTTTCAGCGGTGTAAAAAATCAAATTCCAAGACACACACCTGAGCCATTGTTGCACGTACTCGGCATCCCAGCCCTCCTCCTCGACCAAGAGAAGGGACGACGAGCCCATAGGGCTGGGCAGCTTGTACGGCGTGAAGTTGGTCGTGGCGGTCAGCTTCAGGCACAGATGACTGTCGGAAAAGCTGCGCATCACGTGCTGATACGGTAGCAGATCTTTGGTCGGCGGGTAGCTATGGCGAGGGTTGATCCCCACGGTGAGGTTCAGCGGTAGGAAGAGGACATCCGGATCACCGGCGTCTAAGGTGACCAGCCGTGCATCTGGAGAAACATCCGCCTCGGTCTCGTCGGTCGCTTCCTTAAGGTCCTCCAACCCCCGGGAAGGCTCTTGCCGGGCACCCTCCCCCTGCACGTCGCTGGACATCGTCGAGTAACCCTCGTCCCTGTTTCCGCTCTCCGGACTCTCGCTACCTTCCTCTTCCGACGGTTTTTGAGCTGCATTGTTAACGGACGTTTCGTTTTTAGGACAATCATGTTGTTGTGCTTTAATTTGAGCATTCAGAAATTTTGAAGAAATCTGTTCTAGACGCCAACATTTCTTCTTTTTAAATAAATATGTAGTGATAAGACAGCAATAATAATAAGTAAAAAATAGTAATAAGTAAGAAATTATAATAAGTAAAAAATAGTAATAAATAAGAAATTATAATAAGTAAAAAATACTAATAAGTAAGAAATTATAATAAGCAAAAAATAACAAGCAAGAAAATAATAAATAAGTAAAAATAATAATCAGTAGAAGGCAATAAATAAATTCTTCTTTTTCGTCAGTAGCTGATGCATTAAAGTAGCATAAACAAAAAGGACGATCGGTTAACTAAAACAATTAATAATTATTTCTAGGTAAACATATCACGAAACACTTGAAAAATGTATCAAGTTCCGAATAAAGAGTTCGTCAGTTTTCAATTAAAAAGTTCCGAAAAATCATAGTCTGTCGTCTAAAAATGCAATTATTTTTCGCACCCAGTGGTCTGTTCCTTCGGCACTTGGTGGCCGCCATGACTGGAATCTGGAGATTGAGTGACCTGGGCCTGGCCAAAGGGACCCAGGCGGGGTCCAAGCCGAGGGCAGCTACCACAGCAGCCGGTCCAGCCTCCAGGATCCCCTGTATCAGTTCTGACGGTGTTCCAGGTGTCGCGGCCTGTGCCAGCAGCCCGGAGAGCGCTCGATTTTGAGCCTCGAGCTCCCGGATGCGCCTCTGCAGCGCGCCGATCTCCTCCCTGAGACCCTGTGCACGAAACGGACACGGTCGTCAGCAAGTTTTCCGGGCTCGGGTCGCCGTGTACAAATAGAAAGCGCGATAGCAGACAGAAAAACGAGGACCGGAGACTTCGATGCTGGACTCCTTTTATTTTTGCGCGCGGAAGCGTTTGGAGCTGGTGCTATGTTACACAGAGTGTTCCATAATTATGTTAACGCACGGAAAGAGGCGATTCCCGAAGTAATTTGAAGCAACTTTTTCCTTTACAAAAATTATCTCCGAAGCATCGTTAACGAGTTATCAATGAAAAACGCTGACCAATGAGACGAGAGCTCGGCTGGCGCGACGCGACCGAACGGTCGGAGCCCAGTTCCGCTGATTGGCTCGGCCACGCCTCGCGCCAGCCGAGCTCGCCTCTCATTGGTCACTGTTTTCCGTTAATAACTCGTAAACGAAGCCGCGGATCGCATTTTCGCCGAGGAAAAAGTTACTTCGAATGACCTCAAGAATCTCTCCTTTCCGTTTATTATTCACCACTTTCCGTTAATTATGGGACACTCTGTAGACAAAGAGCGAGTGCAGAGAGAGTTTGGACTGAGAGTTTCTACTGCTGCGGAGAGCTAGACGCTGGCTTGATTATTAGGTGGACGTTTGTTAGAGTTCTAGCTAGTAATCCCAACGTTTGTTATCTGCAAGCGATGCTGCTTTCTTTGGCATAGCTGCGCGCAATCCGCGGTACGTTCGTATGCGAGATAGTGGTTCGTAGCTTTACGATGTTCCAGCACAGCAGATGCGGATGGATTAAACGGGAATCGATGTCGAAGGATGATCAGCTGATTGATGACAGACACGCTCAACCATGTTGCACGCTCATTAAAACATCTATTAAAAGTTGTGCAATTGTTGTATTAATTGTACATGATAGTGTGTCGAGATATTTTCACGCGTTCGGTGTTTCGTCGTGTAAATGTTCACGTCCGTATGCTCCTCCATTTTTTAATTCAACTTTTATCTCCATTTTTTATTTTGATTTTTATCTCCACTTTTTATTTCAATTTTTATCTCCACTTTTTATTGATGCTTTATCTACCGGAAGACGTTTAACCAGTTAGTTATTGCAATCTCTTTGAAAAGTGTGCAAGTTACTGTAATTAAATTATATATTTTATGAAATATATATTTTAATATATAAAATGTTTATATATATTTAATATATAAAATATATAAGACAATAACATATAATTAAATATTAATATTTAATTAAACATCAGTATATAATTAAATTTTAATACATGATTAAATATTGATATACAATTAATATATAATACATAAAATATATAATCCAATAAAGAAAGCCAATGCATATATTCTTCTTCATTAGTTCAGCAGTTTTTGACGAGTATACTCGTCCTGAAGAAACGGCAACATAGAATAAGATTGTAATATATTCTGAACAATTTTCAAACAAACTCTTGATTTTCCCAACTAAAAACTAACAGAAAGCCACCGGTAGACAAAGCGTTAATGAATTTGTTGAAACAGTGAGTACAGGAATCAGCTATAAACCGGTTCCAACAGTGAAACCAAAAGCACACGAAATTACAAGACGATCCTTCGTGCAAATATTCGAGGAGCACACGGTGTTCAATGCGATGCAGATGGGGCCCCATAACGGTACGCTAAGAAATGAATATGTACTCGATAGCAAATGTAGTATTACGATGACAACTATTATATCGTTAAAACGTTCATAAGACAAGGTAACGGATTTAATAACGTACGAACTCCGGATTAGTTTGGGCGCAATTGTTTAGCCAAGGTTACAGAAACTGGAAGAACATATGGTAACTCAGATATGGCGGACAGTTTCGTAAGTGCCGCAGAGAGACAGACGAAATCAGAGAAGAGAAGGAGAGAAAGAGAAAGACGAGTAGTCGAGGACGTTTTGGTAACGAGAGCATAGCAATGAACCTTTTGGGATAGAAGGGCGCGGACCACCTGGTTGGCGACGTCGTCCAGGCACCGCTCGTACTGGCGACGCTGAGCGTCGGCGTCCCGTGCCAATGCGGCGTGCTCGGTTTCCAAGGTCGCCAGACGTGCAACCAGCGCGGCATGCACTTCACCAGCACATGCAGCCTCCAAGCCGCGCAGCTGACCCCTCATCGACTCGTTCTCTAGCTGCAGCTTCGAGATCTGGGCTTGGTACTGATGCACGCGTGCCTGGTTGCAAACAGAAGGGAGAAAACCATATAAGCAAACTTCATAGAACAATCTTTTCATCGGCTGTCATTAGTGGACTGAGGATTTTATGCATTTGGGGCAAAATTGGGTGGTTGCAATTTAAGGTAGAAGGGTTGCGAGAACTTGAAACTGTTACTGTTTTATTTTTAATCTGTTATTGATAGTATTTTACTATTAATAATATAGATTCTATAATATAATAATATATATTATAATATTATTAAAATACTATTAGAGTAATTAAAAGAGAAGAGAACTTATTATTTAGTTTCTACTTGTTGCAACTGCAGACATTGTCTTGATGCAGACAATTATATTTAATATAATAATAATATATATTATACTATCATTAATACTATTAGAGTAATTAAAGAAGTGAACTTACAATAGAAACTAAATATAGTTTCTACTTGTTGCAACTGATGCAGACAATTTTTATTCTGTATAAAAATCCGCTGTCATTAGATTAGAATTGCTACACTGCGTACAAAATAATAAACAAAATAATCATTTGCATTAGAAGCCATTTTTCTTCTAAATTAAAAATGATTTGTTCTGACCTATATAGTATTTCCATTTTGTATGACCTATTGCATTTTATGTATATAAAATTGAGCCCTGTGACTCGTACAACGATTACATATTTTACAGTATTTTTTAAACATAAACAGATCTGGCCATTTGAACATTATTTTGATAATCGATGACTTACATAAATGTATAAATATATAATATATAATTATAATATATCATACATATAATTAGATACAATAATATACAATATATTATTATATACAATAATATACAATATATTATTATATACAATAATATACAATAATATATAATATATAATTATAATATATAATATATATAAATAGGTCTGACTTATTGCATTTTACGCATATGAAGAAATTGAGCGCTTTGAACTCGTGCAACCTGGTGCAACAGTTGCACTTTAATCCTCACAAGAAATGCACGCTGCTCTGCAGCTCGGACGGGCATAAAAAAGCGTCGGGTTTCAAACTCACAGAGTCACGGTATCATCGACCTTGGAACTGTCGAAGACACGAAGTCAAAACAAACGCTCCACGAGACTCACACTCTCGCACGACTATGCAACACCGTTGCCCTCCAACAGCAACGTCTCCGGTTTCGGCGTCTCGCGAAAGGCTCGAGATTTCTCCATAGAGCCGACTGTGCTTTTCTTTTTTTTTGCAAGCGTGCTCGTTGCAGCCCGTAGCAGGAGTTAATAACACGACCAAGCGTTATTAGCAGAAAGGCGTTTAACGTTAAATTAGGGCTGCGGAGACCTGTCGTAGACAGGGGTGCTAATAGAGGGTGCGTGTGTCTGATTTATAACAGTCGTGCCAGCCAGGCGGCCCTTGCTAATGTCTACACCCCCTTCTTCGGGAAAGTGAAGGGAGGCCAACGATTTTCTGTCATCCTCCTCGGCCGAAAATAAAAATACAAACTGGCCGCTTCTTGGAATTCTCCGTGCGGCACATCTGACTCCTCGCTGCCGTTTCTCTCCCCTCTCTCTCGCCCTCTCTCACCCTCACTCTTTCTCTCTTACTTGGAATCCCCTTTTCTGGCTCCCTAGGATTTTCCCCACCTTCAATTCTGTCTCCTTCTCTCTTTCTCTTCATCTCCATTTTCTCTAAAATTTGTCTTCAATTCCGTTTCTCTGTCTTCGACTCTCTCTCTCTCCCTCTCTCTCTCTCTCTCGCTTTCTCGGAATCTGCTCTTCTCGCTTTCTAAAATTTTCACTACCGTCTGTCTCGTGTTCTCGCTTGCTCTCTCCTTCCCTCTCTCTCTCTCTCTCTCTACCCTCCCTTTCTCTCATTGTGTGTGTGTGTGTGTGTGTGTGCTTCTCGCGAGTCTGCTTGGTAATTTATCGTCACACGGCGACGGGAGACAGACTGCCGCTTCCGCGCCTCTAAATTGCACGCATCGACCTCGTGAAATTTCTAATCTAATTTTGAGGCGGTGTCACCGCGGCGGTTAACGGCTTGAGAAAGCGCCGGAGCCTCGGAGGCTCGGCAACCTGACAGCTTGAGACGCATCGAACCACGAAGACGTATTTGCTGGGTGGCGAGGGGATGATAGACGGCCGCGCGAGGGCGTTTAATCGAAAGTGTGCGCGATAACGTTGGTTATGGCTTCGGCATTGTTCGTGTAATAAATTCGTAAAACAATGTGATTCAGACAATATAATATGTAGATATTATATTTCTTTTCTTCTTTTTTCTCTTCTTTACGTAGGTGAGGGCTTTGTTTTTTTTTAATTTTGCTGTTACTTGGAGTGAGAAAAAAAAATTTGGAACCCTCGGTTTTTAATCTGACCCTATAACGAAAATTAAAAAATTGCCTTTTGTACTATATAATATTCAGAGACGAGCTACAGGCGCTGCAGGATTTTAAAAACTGCAGATTTATTAGTTTTTGGTGAAAATCGCGATAAAACTGCGATTTTTGCGATTTTTAATTTGTTGTATCTCGCAACAACGTGAACCGATCTCGATAAAATTTTCAGCATGCATATAAGTTACCGGGATCTATGGGAGACATTTTTTAAATTTTCGTTATAGGCTCAGATAAGAAAGTTAAGAAACGAGAGATGTTTGTTTTTTTGTCATTCCAAGTAATATCAAAGCTAAAAAGAAAGTATTTCAGTCATCGTCCAGTAGACCTCATCTAAAAAAAGTTCAAGTCATTCAGCCCAGTTTCAAAATCATCTAAAAAAAGATTCAGGTTATTTAGTCCAGTCTCAAAAGTATCTAAAAAAAATTCCAGTCATTTAGTCCAGTCTCAAAATCATCTAAAAAAATTCAATTCATTTAGCCCAGTCTCAAAATCATCTAAAAAATATTCAAGTCATCTAGCCCAGTCTCAAAATTATCTAAAACAATTCCAGTCATTTAGCCCAGTCTCAAAATTATCTAAAACAATTCCAGTCATTTAGCCCAGTCCCAAAATCATCTAAAAAAATTCCAGTCATTTAGCCCAGTCCCAAAATCATCTAAAAAAAGATTCACGTCATTTAGTCCAATCTCAAAAAATGTATTGCATTTTAAAAGACGCACCAACACTTCTGTGTGCCACTGTACATGTATGTCCATAGTATCCGGGTGTCCCAATATTTTATACAGTTCCAGCAGGAGCGTGATTTCAATTCCGCGATGCTCTCCTGAAATTTATGTCCGTCGAGCGGCCGATTCGATTTGATTCCGCAGCCGGCATTGGCTGCGGAGGCAGGAGGAGAGGCATCGTGAAAACCCCGTGTAGCCCCCGGTTCGCGTTACGTCGTCGTCGATAACCACGGCCAGATAACGAGGGACACCCTTCGGATTCTCTCACGTGCCGATCCGAAACGGCCGAGCGTTTATTGTCGCGGCCGTTTTCGTTTTTCCAAGCCGGGGAGGAGAGGCGCGCGATGACACCGCCGTAAAAAGCTTTTGCTCCCTCGTCCAATAACAGCCGCCCCGGCACGGGCCACTGGCCGGTTATTGTGTCTCGCGTGCGAGTTGTCATGCGGAATTGTTGTTCCTGGCAGCGAGCGCAACGCTAGACAATGGTCTCGATCGTCCGACGGTTCGAGCGTGTGCCGGCCGCGTGTATCGAATAATGCTGCTTCCGTTCCGTTTATTACCGAGCAACCGGGCCTCCGGACGCTCGATCTCGATGCCGATTAAACAGATCGCGAATGGTATAGACTTATCCGTCCGACGACGGCGCCGTCGTTTCGCCGTGACGTTTCCATTAGCTCCTCGATGGCTCGCCTCGTGCCGGGAAACGAACCCGGAGCCGAGAGCGCCCCGATCAAAAGCTTCTTCTCTTCGATGTCTAGCTCGAAAAAATTGTAACATTGTTCCTGGATTATCCGGGATCGACCGTGGCATCGGGGGATGGGGCAGCTGCTGCTTTATGTTAGCCACGGTGGCTCGCGAAAGGGTTCGAACGCGGTCTAAAATGGAAGAACTTTTTTCTGTTGGACTCGATGAGATGTTTAGAATGTGCATATAAGATGCCAAGATATACGAATAAATATTTGCAGAACGTCAACGGTTCAAGCTCGACGCGAAATTAACGAAAAATAAAAATAATGTACCATAATGCATGGGTACAGGCTTAAAAAAGTTATCGGGGCTTTAACCCCGTGATGTTGATAATGTTTACCACAATTTCAAGAGCTTCGTTCGGCAATTTTTCAAAACACATCGTCGATGACAATTCTCGCAGATTTTTTATACTTTTTATTGTATCTAATAGCAACAGCAGTTTATTTTATTTAAATACCGAAAATTGTACAAACAAAGGAAGGAATTTTCGAATGCACCGCCAGAGATTGTGCATCGAAAATTGTTTCGTAGCGAGGCGAATCGCAACTTCAAAGGGCACCGTTCAGTTTCGAGAGAATAAAGAGAAAGAGAGAGAGAAAGAGCTCGTCGCCGGTCGATTAGGATCTTTGGAACTCTGTTTGCCCGCCGCTTAAATAAAGTTCCGTTCAATCGAGTGTAGCAACATACACATGCGACTCCCTTCGCTCCCTCCGCCATGTCATATTTCGTAACTCCATTGTGCAGGAAGGGGTGAGGTTCCAGCGGCCCCTCCCCGCCCGTCGCCCCCTGAAAACAAAACGCTTCTCCGGGTCGCAGGCATTTTGGAGAGCGGCGCGCAGGTTCCCGGCGAATACAACAATTTCCAGTTCATATTGCAGGCCGGCTCGCAATAACCGACGATACGCTGGTCCACGTATTTGCCGACGGCCAATATCCCTGACTTAACAAAGTAACACGGAGGCCCCGTCGCCGTGCCGCGCTCGGCTCGGCTCCGCTCCGCTCCGCTTACGGATCCTCTAGGAAGGGATCGGACACAGAGTTCGAGTCTCTCATTGGCTCCCGACGTTTCGATCTAAACCGGAAGTCGGACGAAGCGAGAAAGACACCTTTTTTCATTTTTGTTGGGTTGTCCGGAAAATTGTTTCGTTTTTCAACAAATTGAAGTGCTGAAGTAGCAATCGATTCGGTATTTTCACGAGAAAAAAGCAGAATATCTAACGGTCACAAGATTTCAAAGCTACCAGAAAAATGGCGGAAAGTTATTTTTTGCTCCGAATAGTAAGAAATACAATCTAATACAATATAATGCAATAATAATACAATAATAATGCAATATAATACAATACAATACTTTCTGTCTAATTTGACGATGACGACATTGAAACTAATAAATTATACAATATATATTGTAATATAATTATCAATATTATAATACTAATATATTAGTATAATACGTGCTATTATACATTATAAATCAGTCATACACTTTCAATTGAACAGTCCACAAAATATTAAAATAAATACGAAGTGGCGAAGACGTTGAAAAAACGTAAAAATCTCGTCACACTGTGTGTGTTCGATGTGTAAAAACTGAAAGGAAAAATACATCTCTACGCAACTATTGCTTTTTCACAATTAGGCAATTTCTATTTTGCATAAAGATCCGCGGTCTAACGATTACATTTAAAATAATGCCAGATAAATGACAATGCGAATAAAAAGACCCGCATTGTTCGACAGACGGGTTTGTCTGAAACGGGGGGAAAGTTATCGAATTTTGTCTAAAAAAACAGGGAGACCTCGACGCAGCGCGCGACGCTGCAAATGAAAAGGGAGGAACAGTAAACGCTCGCCGTTTACCGAGAACCCTTAGAACGTACGCACTATCTCGTTCACGGCCGGTTTGCTTCTAAAAGAGTCGTAGATTCAGGGACGAGGGGTGTGCATCACTGGCCCCCACGAAATACCGTTTATTATCGATCGTCACTCGATCCCCCCGGTTCAATGTCGGCCTCGCCCCCACCGATCTGCCAGAACCCCTGAAAATCCCTCTATCGGCTACGAGGAACCGAACGCGCGCCTGCAAAGAGTCCTCTCTCTCTCTCGCTCTCTTTTGCTCTCTCTCTCTCTCGCTCTCTTTTGCTCTCTCTCTCTTCTTTCTCTCGCTCTCGCTCTCTCTCGCTCACTTTTGCTCCCTTTCTCGCTCTCTCGGTATCTTTTGCTCTCTCTCTCTCTCTCGCTCTCTCGCTCTCTTTTGCTCTCTATCTCGCTCTCTCGCTCTCTTTTGCTCTATCTCTTCTTTCTCTCGCTCTCTCTCTCGTTCTCTCGCTCTCTGGCTGTTCGATTTTACTTTCGAAGCGAACAACATTCCATACCCCCGAGCCTCGCCGTCACACGCTCGGCCGCCATTTCCCAACGCCCCCGACCACCCCCTTCGAGAGCCTTCTGTTCCGAATGGCCGCCGATTTTCCGTCGAAAAGTTACTTCGCAACTGCGCTCTCGATAATTCTATCCTCTGACAGCTGCAGGGACTCGATTGCCCGGTAATTGATCCTTGCACGCGAGTTTTCTATTATACCGACCGGGGATCAGACGGCCATCTTTGGGCACCGTATCGGCGGCCCACTTTATTTGTTCCGGGTTGCAAGCCGAGGGATGTCCGGGGTACCCTTCTTTGTTTCACTCTCGAGTTGCTTTCGGTATTGTTCCGAGGCTGCGGCGGGTCCTGATCGAACAATTTTCGAGGGTTGGAGTTCGACTTACCAATTGCCCAGTTACTGTGCGATGTGGAGAGAGAGTTTTTTTCAAAATATTTATATTTATATTTTTTTATATTTTTCTATGTTATATTTTTTTATTGAGAGATCTAGTTGTCTATAATAATAATAACAATAGTTGTTTAGACGATTATCAGGGAATATCGTTGGAAAGAATAATGTGAAAGAATGTCGCGTCTCGGAGACGCAAAGAAGTCACTCGATTGTTATGATACGTTAAAAAATTGTCTTGCCTAAAATAAACCAATGACAGTCTCAAATTAGCCTGAAAAAGCTTCCGTTGCATTTTCCCGAATTAAACGAACGAATTAACGAACATCGAAAACTTACCTCGTAAGAAAGCGTGAGCGTAGTCTTCTCTTGCTTCAGCTGTTCGGCCCTGTGCTTGTGTTGCAGCAACCCCCGAGACGACTCCTCCATCCTGCAACAAATCAGACACGGTTCAAGGAACAGTCGAATTTTAATTCCCGGCGAAAAGATTCTAATTGAAAGAGCCCCCGATCGCTTTCGAACCGTTTGCGCGAACTATGCGGACGGAGGCCGTTGTTACGCTCGTTCCGTTTGCCCGTTCACCCGGCCGTGAATTATTGCTATTTGAAAATTCAATTAAGCCGACAAATGAGACGAACGATGGAACAATGCTCGCCCGTATCGGCGCATTTGCATAATGCGAATGACGAATATCTTTTGTCGAACGGCGGCGGCGGCGCTTCGGATATTTTCCAGAAGAGTTCGCGAATAATTATCAGAAGCGTCTCATTTGCGGCCGTAGAGCGTTTTATTAGTAATATTAATAAATATTATAATTTAGTATAATATCATTTATATAATATAATCTAATATGATATAATTTAATATAAAATAATTTATATAGTATAATTTAGTATAATATCATTTATATAATATAATCTAATATGATATAATTTAATATAAAATAATTTATATAGTATAATTTAGTATAATATCATTTATATAATATAATCTAATATGATATAATTTAATATAAAATAATTTATATAGTATAATTTAGTATAATATCATTTATATAATATAATCTAATATGATATAATTTAATATAAAATAATTTATATAGNCAACTGCGCTCTCGATAATTCTATCCTCTGACAGCTGCAGGGACTCGATTGCCCGGTAATTGATCCTTGCACGCGAGTTTTCTATTATACCGACCGGGGATCAGACGGCCATCTTTGGGCACCGTATCGGCGGCCCACTTTATTTGTTCCGGGTTGCAAGCCGAGGGATGTCCGGGGTACCCTTCTTTGTTTCACTCTCGAGTTGCTTTCGGTATTGTTCCGAGGCTGCGGCGGGTCCTGATCGAACAATTTTCGAGGGTTGGAGTTCGACTTACCAATTGCCCAGTTACTGTGCGATGTGGAGAGAGAGTTTTTTTCAAAATATTTATATTTATATTTTTTTATATTTTTCTATGTTATATTTTTTTATTGAGAGATCTAGTTGTCTATAATAATAATAACAATAGTTGTTTAGACGATTATCAGGGAATATCGTTGGAAAGAATAATGTGAAAGAATGTCGCGTCTCGGAGACGCAAAGAAGTCACTCGATTGTTATGATACGTTAAAAAATTGTCTTGCCTAAAATAAACCAATGACAGTCTCAAATTAGCCTGAAAAAGCTTCCGTTGCATTTTCCCGAATTAAACGAACGAATTAACGAACATCGAAAACTTACCTCGTAAGAAAGCGTGAGCGTAGTCTTCTCTTGCTTCAGCTGTTCGGCCCTGTGCTTGTGTTGCAGCAACCCCCGAGACGACTCCTCCATCCTGCAACAAATCAGACACGGTTCAAGGAACAGTCGAATTTTAATTCCCGGCGAAAAGATTCTAATTGAAAGAGCCCCCGATCGCTTTCGAACCGTTTGCGCGAACTATGCGGACGGAGGCCGTTGTTACGCTCGTTCCGTTTGCCCGTTCACCCGGCCGTGAATTATTGCTATTTGAAAATTCAATTAAGCCGACAAATGAGACGAACGATGGAACAATGCTCGCCCGTATCGGCGCATTTGCATAATGCGAATGACGAATATCTTTTGTCGAACGGCGGCGGCGGCGCTTCGGATATTTTCCAGAAGAGTTCGCGAATAATTATCAGAAGCGTCTCATTTGCGGCCGTAGAGCGTTTTATTAGTAATATTAATAAATATTATAATTTAGTATAATATCATTTATATAATATAATCTAATATGATATAATTTAATATAAAATAATTTATATAGTATAATTTAGTATAATATCATTTATATAATATAATCTAATATGATATAATTTATATAATATTTAATATAAAATAATTTATATAGTATAATTTGGTATAATATAATTTATATAGTATAATTTAGTATAATATAATTTTTATATAGTATAATTTAGTATAATATAATTTATATAGTATAATTTAGTATAATATAATTTATATAGTATAATTTATGTTATATAATTTAATATAATATAATTTATATAATATATAATATAATATAATATAATTTAAAGTGTACAGAACGATGGCGCCGGTAACCCACTTAAGGGTTGAAATTAGCCCGCAGTTCGAAAGCAACGGTCCGCCGTCAGCCGAGAGACGTCTCCGCGGAGGCGTGAAGCGATCGGATCGCGCGATGGAAAAAATTCGCGGCCCTCGCTCGCCGTTGATTCGATTATCTGTTTCTTTGGAACGGTGATTCGCGCGTGACTTTCCTCGACAAATTTCTTCATGCGCACGCTCCGCGGGCTTAATGATCTGATTAGAGATACAAGAGGAGGGTTCCCGGGGATGCTGAGATACGAAGCCGATTTAAGCTTTTCGAGGGAGACGAACCGAGGGCTTTCCTCAACGCTTGGCAACACCCTTTCCCGTTTCCCTTCGCCGTTCCCGGCGCGGCCATGCTTCCTTCCAGCTATCCGGAGAGCCAACTTTCGAACTAACTGCCGACTTTCGGGGCCGGCCTGCAATTGTTTTCTATCACCGGAGCCATCTGCAGTCACGCGGAAGGGTTTAATGAAGATTAATTGGCAATTACTTAGCGGCACTCGACTCTGCCATCGCCACGCACCCGCTCGCACCGAGGGGCGAACTTTTGCGAATGGATACTGTTTTCTTCTTTAATCGCGTGCTAGAGCCACGTTTCCGCCGCGGTCTGCCGATTATCAGCCGGGAATCGTCGCTAATGCTTCGACGAACGCTCTCTCATCGCGGCGTCGCGCGAAATCTCGTCAATTCTTTGACGGCAAGTCTCCATACATCGTAGCCGACGTTTCAACCCTCTCGGATAGGGCGAAGTTGCGACAGTTCTGTTGATGCATTGTCGTGGAAGCGAACCCTCTGCGGTCTGGACGAGACCGCAATGCTATTGTTCTAATAAATGTATGAAACGCAGCTCGTTATTCTTTGTTCTTTATTTATTTAGAAAAATGTTCTCTTTGCCTTGCATCCGATTGGAAGCAAAACGAAGCTATCATTATACTGCGATATTATAAATATTGTAAAGTATTTATATATTATAAAATATTTATATTTTATAGTATACATAAAATATTACGATATATTCTATTGTAAAAAATTAACAGCAGTTTCAACGCTTTATCCACCGGAAGTCTGTCAACAGGATTTTCAATTATTTCAATTATCGTGTTATACTCGAAGGAATCTTGAAATATTTTTTTCGATATCATTACGATATTTTTACGATATTTTTTTATCGAATTATATCGCTGTGTCGACTTGTTTGCACGCGACTTAAATTGCAGTTCCCGTCGAAAAATAGAATAAAGCCGTTCAACCGTAAATCGTAGCCTTCGAAAAATCATAAAATCATCCCTGCCGAATAATGCATTAATTTAATCTCATATCGCAACGGATCTTCCGTTGTTGAACGTTTAGCAGCCCCGCCGAACTATAAATATAGAAAACGAATTTCCTGATTAAGTTTCCGCGGTAAGAAGTAATCAACGGAAAATATCGCGGTAACATGAAACGCGGCGCAACGTCAGGTCTGACTGGCATTAATTAACCGGGACAATTCAGGTCTGCGCCGAAGCTGTCAGTCAACGGAACGCGTAATAATTAAAGATGGGATCGCGCAACGTCGAAATGGAAAACAACGATATTAATTAAAGTTCTGCCGCACAGAATCCGGCGAACGGTGTCTCGATTCCAATTACTTTGCCGCTCGGTCCCGGGCTCCGAGGGCCCCGGTTAGTTCTCCACCCGGCGCCGCGCCCGTTCTCGTCTCATAGAAGATTCATTTGTGTACACATCGGATCGTGAAAAGAAACTCCGCGAATAAGCTGATTGTCCCGGCGAACTTGCTTGTTCAGTGCCGGGCCCCGGAGTCTGTGTACATTTCGGGAGAGTTCGAGGACGTTTAATCGGCTTAAAACTCCGCTCGTTAAAGTTCCCGGGTTTACCTTAACTCTTAATGTGCTTCTAAAACGATTATGAAAATGGTCTTCGCCGGATCGAACTGTCCGATCGGCCTTAACGAAAGATAAACCCCGGCTACGGTTCGCGCGGCAGCTTCTTATCCGGTTAGCGTTCGACCCCCGCCACGAGCTCGGCTCGTTCATCGACGAGTCTCTGCTTAAGTCGCTGCGTGAGTCTCGCAGAAACGTACTTGTCGCTGGCCGACGCGCGATAAATCTGTCTCGATTGCGAACAGAATCGCAGAAGTCTACGGACGCGTCGTTTGCGCGTGGCAGTGCTAAATTCCAACTTTGTTCGTTGGAACAGTAAATACTGTTTTTTACAGCTATTTTCAAAAGCCAGAAGCTCGTTGCTCCAAGAAGACGCCAAAGTAAAAACGAACTCTGTTTTTGGCAAAATTGCACTGTCGTTTCATTAGTGAAAATCTGTTCGCGAGACAAACATTTTCTATCTCTGTCGCGATGATTAATAAACGATACACGAAAGATCTAAGGACAATAATTTATTGAATTTTGCTTCGTTCTAATTCTGCTTTGTTCTAGTTCTGCTTTATCGTTTAATTTTGCTTTATCCTAATTTTTACTTCGTACCAACAAACTGAGTTGCATTCGTTCGAGAGTAGAAAATTAATATTTTAATAATATTAATAATCCGAAAATAGCGTGAAAGTGTTCCGTGTCTCACCGTGCGCCATACTAATGCATAAAATTCTGATCATCGGCCGTGATGGACGTTGAAACTCGAACACGTGGAAGTTACCGTTTTTTTCGGGGGCGCCGTTGAAGCGACCATCGTCGTCGGAGCTAACGTAAAACGGGGCGAAAATTTATGCGAAGAGCCTACGAATGGTAAGAAACGAAGGAGCGGTGCCCCGGCGACACGAGGTTAACGCAATAATTCAGGAGGATCCACGAGTAACCCCGTAACCTCCTTCATTAGACTTTTACCCCGCGGTCGATTCCGCCGACGAAATGGGGGACTTTCGACGGTGATTCCCGGTAACTTATCAACTGGGGTGCCGTTCCGGATGGCGGGCTTAAGAACAATGCTGCGCAAACAGTAATTATAAGCGCAAACAGAACAGCGATTGCCGCCGAGCTAGTTATACGCCGGATAATCAAGATTGCAGTCTTGGGAATTCAGTTTGCATAGGAGACCCTCGCGATCTCTTCGCGAGACTCCGTGGTTAACCTTCGGCCCATCGCGAATCCACGATCGTTCCCTCCGGCGAGCTGTTTCTTTCAATTAATTCTAGCTGAAATTTCGGTTCTTCCAGAACCGGGAAGTTTTCTTTTTAAATGCGACGAGATTGTACGGGTTTTCTTGAGAATTTTTTGTTGCATTGCAGTTCGCCTCGATATTTCACAGAGGGATTTTAATTTATCGCGAGCCTGTGACTTTTTTTGTTCATCGAACTATGCTTTTATTTTATAAAATTGACAATTTTATTACTGATATTTGCTTGTTCGCTTAACATTAACGTATACCGCATACGTAATAAACGAGAAACGCAGGAAAAATCAAATGCTTGTAAAAGTTAAAAATTCAGATTATTGCTGCAGGGTGGTATTCGGCATTTCACCCTAATTTCTCCCTAATTTCTCGCTAATTGTTGACAATCGGTTAGCATGAAAAAATCTATAAATAAGTATATAATACAAAAACGAACCGCAAGGCTCGAATAATCGTATCTCCTCTTCCCAAATCGTCCATTTTCGTGCGCAATCTGAGCGCTAAAAAATTAGGGAGAAATAAATTACTGCAACTATTTGGAGCCGGTTCGACGTCAAGTCCCTATTATCAACACGGAGCCAATTTAACATAGCCTATGTAAAAGTGATATTAAATCAGCGATCACCCCTTAAAGGTCAACGAACCTACGCCGACCGGCTTCCGAGCCGGCCGTATTTAAATCCGCGAAACGCGTACAGCTTGTGTCGCCGAAAGTGCCGAAAAAAGGCCAAAAATGTCGCCGTTCGCCGTCCACAGATTACGATCGAACCACCCACACGCGGACAGAATGCGCCAAAATCCGACGCAGCCGCGGGGTTAATTGAAAATAATTCCCACCCTTCGACCCTTCCACAAGCGTCGCCGGGTTTCCCGGCGTTGGACGCGTGCCGCCGGCAAAACTGTCCGAATCGTGATAAAAGTCCTCCGCAACGACGCTGTCCAAGCGTTTCCGGCGGTCCCGGCGAGGCGGTCGGAAGATGATTATCGTTTAATGAAAGTCCGACGACGCGTTTCCGCGTGTAATTCGACGCGGCGTGTTCCTGCATCATTATAATCGAGTTTGCGCTGCAATAGCCGTAAATCACGAGAAACGGCTTGGCCGCTGCCATGCGG